TGGACTTCCTTAGAAATTCCTTAACTTTCAAACTACTATTGGGTTAGAAGAAATATTACAGTTAGAATTTACAATGGGTGATTTTGTTTTCAGGTGTTTGAATGCAAATATTGTCTGTAAATAAAGATTAACTTGTACATATGTTATACATTAGTATACATTATTTGATAGATTGTTTTTCATCGGAAATGAACATGCACACATTGATTCATTTCAAGGAAACTCTCCCATGAGATTTTACTAAAATGACTATTATAGAAATGTAGAACTGTAAAATACCATTGAAAGGAAAGTAACATTACTAAGTTACATTTTCATGATATGTGCATTTTTATTTTCAGGTGTTTGAATGTATATTTTAACATGTTTTTAATAACAAATTGTTATCATAGTCTGCTATAGGATATATTGCTTAAAGTAATTTACCATCCAATTTACTGTGGAACTACTCATACTTCTTTAAAACCTGCCTTATTGGAATATGTACCTAATATGGTGCATTTTTGTTTTGAGCAGAACAAATCAAATTAATTCAGTTCATTCATTTAGCATCTATTATCATTTTGGTTATGTCTAGAAATATAGAGGTTATGAAATGGCAGATGTTTCCATTTTATGAGGCAACACCAATTGAATTTCTTGACTTAGCACCTTCTTCAATTCCAACTAATGATTATGAAAGTCTTATTTTTAATCCACTGACTTAAGAAAATAGACAGAAGGATGAACCTCTCACTGCACATGATTTTGAAATAAATCAATCAGTAAATCAGTGCAACTACAATAATATAGATCAATTTAACTATCACTTACAAAAATCAAATGATCTTAGTATGTTACACATCAACATGAGGAGTGTATCTAAAAATCAATGGAAATTCCATAATATGTTGCAATTGTTAAAAAATAATCTTTCAATTATTGGTATGACTGAAACATGGCTTACATCAAACTTAGAGCCTATTTATGAGGAAAATGATTCTAATTATAATAGTATTTTTAACTCTAGGAAAGATAGACCAGGGGGTGGTGTTGCACTTCACATTTTAAAAGGCATTGACTTTAAACATAGGGATGACCTCAAATTAGATTATAAAGCATGTGAATCACTATCTATTGAAATTCCTAGGAAAAATGAGAAAAATATGGTTATTACTATAATATATAGACCACCAAATACAGACATGGCATCTTTTCTTGAAAGTTTTGAGAGCCTACTTTCTAAAATTGATAGGGAACATAAACTTTCTTTTATAATGGGTGATTTCAACATTGATTTACTTAAAACTGAAAGTGATGCGCAAACTTTGAATTTTCTTAATCTATTATACTCCCAATCTTATAACCCATTGATTTTTAAACCTACTAGAATAACAGAAAAAAGTGCTACGCTTATTGATAATATTTTTTCTAATTCAAATAATGTAATCAAAAGTGGTCTTCTTTCATTTCCCATTTCTGATCACCATCCTATCTTTGCCCTTACATCACACTATCAAAATGTTTGTCAAAACAAACAAATCACTTTTAGGAAATATTCATTGAGTGCAATTAATAATTTTAGTGATTCACTGAAAGATATAGATTGGACGGGTATAATTAATGAAAAGGTTGATGTAAATGTGGCTTATAATTTGTTTGCAGACAAAATTAGTAGAAAATATGATGAATATTTCCCTGTTAAAGTCAAAAATACAAAAATTCACAAGAACTCAATTAAGCCTTGGCTCTCACATGGTATACTAACATCTGTGAAACAGAAAAATAAACTTTATCGAAATACTTTGAAACACCCAACGAAACAGAATCTAGCTGAATACAAAACTTTTCGAAACAAACTCCATAAATTAATCCGCAAAGCAGAAAGGAAATATTTTTGTGATAGATTTACTGAAACAAGCAATAATATCAAGAATACTTGGTCAGTTATAAATGACTTACTTCACCGCAAAAAATGTGATTCAGTTTTTCCAGATAAATTTTATGATGGAGATGATATTTTGACTGATAGAAAAGATATTGCTAATCATTTTAACAGATTTTTTTCTAATGTTGGACCTAAATTAGCATCAAAGATAAGTTCAAAAACGTCCCCTTTTACATTTATGGAAATCAATGAATCTTCTTTAGAACTTACTCCTGTGACTAAGAATGAAATCGAAAATTTAATGTCAGTTTTAAAAGATTGCTCACCAGGCCTAGATGAATTCAAACCAATAGTAGTTAAACATGCAAGAAATAACTTACTTTTACCATTTGTTCATATAGCAAACTTGTCTATCCATACAGGGGTTTTTCCCACTAAGTTGAAAACAGCCAAAGTTATCCCACTTTTTAAAAAAGGAAATACTTCAAAATTTTCAAACTATAGACCTATATCTCTACTTAGTGTCTTTTCTAAACTCTTAGAACAGATCATGAAAAATAGATTAATAACATTTATTGAAACATACAAACTTTTATTCAAAAATCAGTTTGGTTTTAGAAAACATTATTCAACTTATATGGCAATCCTCTCCTTCTTGGAAGAAGTGAGGATATCTCTAGATAAAAGCTCAACTCATGCTATTGGAATATTTTTAGATTTATCCAAAGCCTTCGATACAGTAAATCATGAAATTCTTCTAAAAAAACTTGAAAATTTTGGAATTCGCAATGTCGCAAAAAATTGGTTTGAAAGCTATTTATCTGATAGGAAAATCATTACTTCTTTTAACAACACTCTATCTGAAGAAAATATTATCACTTGTGGTGTACCTCAAGGGTCTGTTTTAGGCCCCATCTTATTCATTCTCTATATAAATGATTTACATAAGGTTTCAAATATTCTTAAATTTACTATTTTCGCAGATGATACAAATATCTTATCTTCAAACAAAGACCTTCATGATCTATATAGAAATGTAAATCTAGAAATGGAAAAGACATTAGAATGGTTCAAATCAAATAAACTTTCTTTGAATATAGACAAGACAAATTATATGCTATTTACAAGATCAAAGTTAAATATTGATGAAAATCAAGATTTTAATATAAAAATAGGGGGTAATATTCTTGAAAGAGTAATGCATACAAATTTTCTGGGAGTAACAATTGATTGTAAATTAAAATGGAATGAGCACATAAATAAGGTTATACATAAAATATCTAAAATTATTGGTATTCTGGGTAAGATTAAATATAAATTGAATACAAAAACCATGATTACCATTTATAATTCACTTATATTATCACAATTGAACTATTGCAACATCATATGGGGTAATGCATGTAAAACCTTTTTGAATAAATTGCTTTTGTTACAAAAACGTGCAGTGAGAATAATCACAAATTCTGACTTTTTAGCACATAGCCCACCTCTTTTTAAACAACTCAATTTTCTAGATATTTTTGACATACATAAGCTTGAAGTTGCAAAATTTCTTTATCAATACACAACAAAACCCGATGGCTTTCCTTTTGACATATTTGAAAATTATTTTACTCCAAATTTGATATTTCACGAACATGAGACAAGATTCCAAAATTGTCTTCACATGAAAAAATTTAGAACAATTATAGGTCAAAACTCAATAAAATATTCAGGTGCTCAGCTTTGGAATAATCTGCCAACTTGTTTGAAAACATTACCTTCCATTAACTGTTTTAAAAAGAATTTTAAAATTCATATGACATCAACCTATGATGAACTGAATTACTGACAAACATATATGTAGATTTTATATATTGTTATCAATTTTATTCTCATTTAACTGAGTAAATATATTTAAATTGTTCTTTTTTCTCATTTCCATTTGACTCAGGTTAATATTTAAATGTTTTCACGCTGATACACTTACTAAAAGTGTCAAGTGTTATTATGTATTTGATTTTAATTTTAGAGAATAAATATTTTTAATAAAAGAAAAAAAAAAGAAAAAAAGTGAGGTTTTATAGAACATTATTTTAGGCATGGAGTTCCCAATGGAAAATTGGGATAATGTTTTGATTATTTCTTGTAAGAATGTTTTAATTATGTACCAAAGAAGATTTTTTGGCTGATTTACCAACTTATCCATTGTTATTTTGGGTCTAAATTTTGCTCATGTATACATGTATAATTCATGATATTAGAGAGATTTCGCACATATGTAAAATACAACTTATAACGTATACTTATACTTATAAGAAGACGTACAAGGTGTTTCATAATATGGGTATTTCGTCAGGAAATATCTTCTCGGACTTAATAAATAAAGGTCAAAGGGATGCCTTTTCTACTTTGCTAGAACCTACTGGTTTGATTGGTGTTTCAAATTGATGGTTAAAGTATTTGATTGGATACTGTTCCTACTCAGCCGATTAATTTAGAAAATGCTTGCGGTCAATTGTTCCACACACATGTAGGTAAAGCTTTATACGTAGATCAAACTGTATACGTTTATCATCTACGTGTATATACAATTTTGTAAGTTCATTGAACTTATACTGATCATGAAAACTTTCAAATAATCAACTTGTTTATGTAATGACTCACTTTAAAGGATCATGACTCACTTTAAAGGATCGTGTTTAGAATACACTACAACTACTAGGACACGGAAGCAAGCATTTAATTATAATGTGCATAATCTACACGTGCAGATGACAGTGCATTCACAGTCTCTGGTTGATGGAGCTTTTCTATATCGAGAATAGTTATGTTCCATTAAGTACAATTTAAAATTGATTTTAGTAAATATAATAGTTCGACATGACCCTTTAAACTATACGTATACGTATAAGTTGTACTTTCACTTATGTGCGAAATCTCGCTATTGTCATTGTTTATTTAGCATAAGGTATAGTGTAAGATTGTTTTAATTGTCAAACTATTCTTCAGTATTGGAGGCTAAATAGATAAATAAATATATTATTACCATGATATAAACACAATGAGAGAATTACAGTTCCGTCATAAATGTTTGGTATCCTGATCAGTTCTGTCTAAGCTATAAATTACTATAAATTGTATATTCCAGGGATGTTGTTGTTGAAGAGGGAGCCCCATCCATGGGAGCCAAGTCTCTGTGTATTCCATTCAAGCAACCAGGAGACATAAAGCCAGACATGAAGTGTATCAACCCAGCTTGCCAAGCCAATCCAAAATTCTATACTCTCTTTGGAAGAAGTTATTAGTATTGACTCTCTAGGAAATATACTTTTAACGTTGGACTATCAGGGAAAAATTGATAACTGGTCAAAATGTTGACCTCATGTTAAACAGAGAACTTGATTGTTTAATAGAATTCAATAGTCAGTGACATAATTTTTCAACTAATAGAACTGTTAAGGAAGATTTTATATCAAATGCCAATGTTGGTCATACTTATCCTGTTTAATTTTTATGCAATACTGGTATATACAAGCACTATTAAACATAGGCCCCAGGAACATGTATAAAATATCGAGTCGACACCTGTATTACACGTACTTCTTCAAAGAAGAAAAGAAGTAGTAGTAATACAGATGTCGACTCGCTATTTTATACATGTTCCCGGGGCCTATGCTATTAAATGCACATAATACAATCATGGTAATGCAGGATTATTGTTGGAAATGAAAAAACATTCTTAAAATAGAGAAACACATATGCAATTGTTTGTTAGTGTTTTTTGTTCATTGACTTAATACAGGTAATACCATTAAATAAAAAGAAGTTTTCACCAGGAGGGATTTGATATGGGGAATATCACAAGGATGCTAACAATAGTTCCAGAGGGAATGCACTGAATAACGACCTTATACCATGGTCTTTGTTGAGAAAACAATAAAAATTCTACTAGATATATAGAGGCTGTTTACTGGGAGGGATTCAATATGGGTTTAATTTCCAGGGACACTATGATATTTCCAGAGGGCCAGAGGGAAATATCATCTTGTTACGAGGCATAAACCCATATTGAATCCCGACCAGTAAATAACCTCTATATCCCATGGTATCCATAACTCTCTCCATTATTGAGCCAATTATTGACTCACTAAAGAGGTTAAGCTACACGTATTTAACAAAAAACTTGAACGTGAACTTCAATACGCGCGCAGATAAATGACGTCAGATTTGTTTTTTATTTCATGTGGGCCAGCATGAAGTTAAAGATATGCTAGCCAGATAAGTAGGTCAGTATTACATAATCATAAAATGAATTAGTCTGAAAATGCAATTGGTCAGAATGTACTAAAACCTGCTTGAAACCTGAAAACATTGCGCCAATCCAATGTTTTGTCAGGTACATCTCGTCGAAAAATGGACAATAAAGGTAATATAATGTCACTATCAATTCCCTTGGATGGTTAGAATTGTTACTAGAGTCCATTTCACTGCTTCATTTCGTCAGTAGAACTGCAAAAATAAGAAATTGGGAGACCATTGTGCAATAATATATGGAAAAGTATATTCATAATGTACATGAATGACATTTGTATATCTTGGATTGCTTATAGTTTGGCTTATAAAGTGTGTGGCCTCTTATATTTGGATGTTTCTCTGCCATGTTATTTTCAATTAGATTAACATGGCTGAAATTCTTCAAATTACAAGACGGCACAGGCTTATTGCACAAAAAACTAAAAAATCTGAAATATACAAATGTCATTCATGTACATTATGAATATACTTTTCCATATATTATTGCACAATGGTCTCCCAATTTCTTATTTTTGCTGTTCTACTGACGAAATGAAGCAGTGAAATGGACTCTAAGATGTTCTAGCAGGTGGAGTTGGCCTAGAATTATGGTTGAAATCACATTTTATGGAGATATAATAAAAAAATAATTGTTCATGCTGTTGAAAAATATGCTAAGGATTGGGTTAGACGTGAGCATGCGGATAAATCTTCATTAGATGAGTGGATACTTAAAGTCAAGGATATTGTTAATAGTAGAATAATTAAACTTAAAGCTCAAAAGTTTGGATCTAATGACAAGATATTAGATGACCCTCAAGTTGTTGAATATTTAGAAAATTTTCATAAAAAAAATTATTTTAGTCCCAGTAGACAAAGCGTCAAATAACGTTATTGTTATATGTAAAAAAAATTCTATTTGTCTGTTATCATGACAGAATTGGACATTTCAAATAAAAATGCAAGTAATAAGACGTATATTAAGGTTGATGCTAATGAACTTGAAATAGTCAAAAATCATTAAGACTTCTTGATTAAACACAAGATCAAACCAACAGAGAAACAAGAACATTTGCCTCAAATTTATTGGATACATAATTACATAATAAAAACCCGTGTAAATCTAGATCTGTTGCTGGTTCTAGGGTTTGTTCTGCTAAAAAAGTTTCTGGGCTATTGACTAGGTGTCTCCAAGCTGTTAAAAATAATAGGGAGTCTTACTGTAATGCCATTTTTAGAAATTCTGGGGTTAATCATATGTGGATCCTTAAAAAAATATATAAAATATTTAAGTCAAAAATGCAAACAAAATATCGAAGAGTGATCTTCTTTATATTTTCAAAGAATATTGAGTTTTTTAATTTACATCACAATGGGAAAGAACAAGGGGCAACATTAAAAAACACATGAAGTAATTAACAAGTCAAAAATGCATATCAATCAATTATATATTGATCTGCTTCCTTGAGATCAATTGCTCATAATACAGTTTGTTTTAGTGGCAGTAAAATACTAATTTTATTATTTCACATCACAGTGAGGAAGCACAAATAGCAACATATAAAAACACATAAAATATAACAATTTCTAAAAGGTTACTTTGCAGACTTCACATAACTGTTGATGAGCACATTCATGTGTTTGTTAATTATATAAGTCATAAGAGATTCTATGAACTATCATCTTCTTCAGATGACAACATTTCAGACATATCTTTTGATTTTAAAATGTCAAACTTTGTGCATTTTATTTTGCTTTTATACCCCTTGTGCCTACAACCCCACTCACAACTGGGCATGTACGAAACCATCCAGTGATTGCATCAATACCATTACATACATCTGGATCTGGGTTATACTCCACCCATGTATAGTGAGATTTAGAGGACACAAACTGATTACTGGGCTTTTACACAAATTAGACCATATGTTTCTTTTTTTAACAATGATGGTATATTTCCCATCTACTTAAAAATGGTCATCTGCGTATCGTTTAGATTGGTTGGTTTGATCTCAAGAGAGTCCACAACGATTTAGATGTAACTCTCTGTCTCGATGCAGGGGGTTCTGGGAGATTGCAGTTCACTCATACAGTTCCCTTTGTTTTAGACATTTTATTAGCAAATAGAGAGGTTTCGCAAAACGAATTTAACGAATCCGTATCTCGTTACGTTTACGGATACGTATTTCGATAATTCTCGTTTCGCAGTTCGTTTTTTTGAAGTACGTAAATATAAACGCATCTCGATCCGTGTTTAATAGTAGTGAAAACTAGGGTCAAATAAAAGGCTTCATCTAACTAAGATTTCAAAACACCATTGGGAGTGTCAGCTTTCAGAATCATAACTCCAAAAGTATTTTTGGTGAGTGCAAAAATACATATTAACCCTTTCATCCCTCAGGGGTCATTTTTATTAATTTTATGACATCAATTTCAAAATGAAGAATATCCCCTAGGCCAGAAAAGATTATCTCAACATTTACAATAACCAATTCAGTGTCAAATTATACTTTGGGGTATATTTAAGGGTTTAAACACAGATAGGCTGAAATAGTGGTCATTAAGTGAAGTGCAGTGACTGCATTATGCTACAAGATGCGTAAACATTTCTGCTTTCTATAGAAATGATATTTGAAATTAGTGTGTAGATTTGCGTTTACTTATTTTTTCTGAGAATATTAAGAATGCAGCAAGTGCGTTTTGAAACTAACATGAAAGCATGCACGCTTAACGTTATATCATCATATCCCTACCTCATTATCTTTTTAAATATGCCCTTATAAATATACTTATCAATTCTATAATTAGTTCCAAAGGAGCCGATGCAATCTAAACAAATGGTGAAAGTGATCCACCATGTCATATTATATCAAGCTTGAGTGAAATCCATCCAGCCAAATATTTGACCTCTATTGCAACACATATTTACTCAGTAACTTTGTAATTCACTCAAAAGTAGAATTCCATCTTTAAGCATGCAAAATGTTTTTGACTGTTATTGTATAAGCATGTTTGTATGTAGATGCACCACATTTTCAATGTGTGTGCCACTGTTTTAAAAGTGATTCGAATAAATAAATAAAAAAAATTGGTAATACATAATGTGGAGTGATTCGAATAAATCTTGAATTCTATCCCATGGTGAAATATATGACCGTCTAAAATCACTTGGCATACTGCACATAGACCCTTAATTTCATGTTTTTGCAGCTGTGTATATTTTGGTAATAATTCAAGATCAAATAAGTAAAAAAAGCGACTTTGACAAGGCAAAGGCATTCGGAAACCATGCGCTTTCACATAAGCCACCCCCGTTTCCTCATACATGGGCTTTAGTTGAAAACCCATGCCTCATATAAACTAAGGAGGGGCGCAAAGTAACATATTTGATCATAGAAAGTGACACAAATATATAATTTATGCAATAAAAGTACATCTCCCCTGTCTTGTATGAAAAATCAACAAAAAATATAATATGTAAAAAGATAAATTAGCATAGTTTTTCTTGAATTCATTGAACAACATGTAAGCTACAGGGGACCAGCTCATCAGAGAATCAGAGAACGACGCGAAGCTAACGCCCATCATACCAGTTGAATTTCTCACACTAGAGATTGCACTATATATGAATACAGGGTGTTTTGAAAGTATGCCCCCCCCCCCCCCCCCCCTAGGCAGACATATACCAGTGTCGTCATAGTATGTGTCATATATCATTTTAAAGCTTATCATGGTTCAACTCTCAAACGTGAAAAATTAAAGGCATTTCAAAATTTAGTGTTTGGTCAAAATTTAGTTCAATTTTACACCAAATCACTAGTCAATGTGTCCTCCCGGGCCATCTTAACAGCAGCAATTCTTTTCGGGTCGGAGGGATATTGAGTTATAAAAAGAGAACGCTGAGGGTAGAACCTCTAAGGAAACTCTTCTAAAGTCCCTTAACAGGTTTTAAGAGGGTTATAAAATTCCACACCCCTATTTGAAGGGCTTTTAAGGTCATATCTGAAAATAATTGCTGTTGTTAACATGACCAAGGGGGACACATTGACTAGTAATGTGGTGTAAAATTGAACTTTATTTTGACAAAACACTAACTTTTAAAATGACTGTAACTTTTTCCCATTTGGGAGTTAAACCATGAAACTTCAACTTCAACTTTTTCGATCAAGATTTGTAATTGTTAGTCGAGTAAATCGTTTTACTGCCAAATTCCAATATGGCGGTTTCTGCTCGGACATTTTCGTAAATCTCCGGAGGTTGTCCGAACCTAACTAATTCTCAAAATTCATTTCGTTCGTTGCGTATCTCGCACCTAGCAAACCGCCATATTGGAAATAGGTCTGTAAAACTTTAACTCGATGAACAATTTACAAGTCTTGATCGAAAAAGAAGTACTCCAGCGCTCCAATACTTACACGGATTGATGATACTGATGTAAGACACAGTTAGAGACCAAAAGTAAGCCGCGGAT